ATAAATAAAGACTATGACTATTAAGTATAGGTTGACCCGCGCAGATACCAGTTTGTTTCTTTTACTGCATAGTGTTATCTTTATAATAAGTTCTATTATAATATTGTTGTTGTAAACCTTGAAAAGCGGCACCTTAGACCTGTATTTTTAGGTATTCAGGCGTACTAAGAGGAAAACTACAATATATGTAAATGAGTTACTAAAATGGCGAAATTAAAATGAATATCGTTACTAATTTTCTGTAACTGATATAAAAGTGTAAAATAGGAATCTTCCACTCTGTATCGCTTTTCATTTTCGTTTCCTTGAGTGTTTGCATTCAAAGCCACTTATTCCGTTGCAAAAAGTTCATGGGGACAACGATCAGCAAGACGCCGAGAGGCCCAACCTACAGGATGGAACGCAAGCGAACAGATCGCCGGCGACGTTGCTATTGCAGAATCGGCCGTTTCGGCTTAGTGACCAACGTAGTATACTGTTAATTGTATTCTGTACTGTTACTGAACACATTTTCTTGCGTTACTCTACGAGCTCTTTTTCTAACTTACATCGCTACGTGGTTTCAACAGATAATCAGATTACGGATGTCTGGTGATTTGGGCATTCACTTCGAAAAATTTTAAGCCATTAGGCATATTAGTCAGTATTCAGGCAATTCCTATGGTTTTGCATATGGAGCATAAGAAATCACACATTCTTCACACTACTATACAAGCCAGGTAGTATATATATACATATATCACTAACTGGATATCATGAAATTCACATATAAACAAAGGTAATACAGCCAAAATGTACGCGAGATGCGGCGTCCCGTAAAATTGCGGAAGCTTAAAAGATGTCTAGTTTGAATTACTCATTGTTGGAGATTTGGTAACAGAGTGAGAATGAGCAACAAGTTAGTAAAATACAGGACACTTCGCACCCTTTGGTGACATGATTAGGATCTATGTCTGATGGCAATAGCTGTTCGATCCCCGTCGTGCTACAGATAAACGCGCGTTCGACTATTTACGCAGTTGTTGACTTAAGCCCAATGATGTATATGTTTATTATGATTATGATGCATAGAAAAACATCAAGCCGCTTATAGCGGTGGTTTAACGGGCCCGTTTAGTGATACGCGCAGAACTGAAAGCACGGCTTTCTGGTTCTACTACGGTAATCTGTCGTATCGAAACAGTTTGATCCCTAGACATATTTACTATAAAAGTAGCAGGCGGTACGTGATACCAGTAACTTTGCTGCTCTCACAATTTGTCCAGCAAGCAAAGCTGTAACAAAATTGTACCACATTACCTTTGAATTTCCCCGCCATGTGGCATCTGACAGCAGCCCAGGCTACACGCAACTGGGTTGCGTAGTCTGCTCGTGTTTTTATTAGTCGGCAGGGCACGTGGAAAGGAGGATCAACAAAATTCTTGAGCGCGGTTACACAGGCGACCTACCGCAATACGAATAGCGCGGCGCTTGGGTAAGGGTGATGGGAGCTGTTTCGGGTTCGAAGGGACCGCGGGAGCTGACTGCCGCCAGCCAGCCAGTTCTCCATTTACTGTATAAGTGAAGAGCATTGACGACGACGCTTTGCGCTCATCCGTTGCTAGTTGTAGATCGCTGAGATAGTTTCTCCGTTTGGCGGTGTTTGGCCGCCGGGTGGGTGGATGGTCACTCGATGCTGTTGTGTGTGCCGCGTCCATTCGTGTGCTGTGCGCTGCTACTATTGCCGTCGTGGTGACTTTGTTTACCTGTCGTAACTATACGTAGTCATAATAAACCGAGTTCGGAATACGCTTTTTACGGCGACCTAGATGTTTAAATAAATCAAACACTTTGTGGCAGCTTTTGTAAGGCAAGTAAGTACTGTTGATATGACTTGTTAGATTAACTCGTGAAACCCCAATGTTACGTCTCTTTGATCAGTTCGTCTGTGCCATTTATTTGTGGGTGTGGTAGTAAGTAAACTTTTGAGAATAATCTGATGTCGTAACATCTGGCATTACAAATCCACTGTAGTTTTAAATAGCGAACGCGTTATTGCTAAGTGTAACATATGCCAAAACGTTGCTGAATCGTTCGGAAAGAATGTTTTAGCGCATCTTCACTACATATTTGAAGTTTTTGGATAAAACTTGTAGCACATTCGGCTACGTGGTCTGGTCCAGTGGTGCTCAGGCTACGTACTGGCCATCTGCCATTAATGGGTTAAATAGTGAATCTGTCACTTGATGTCTAGCCGATAGTGAACGTGCTGTACTTCAACGCTCTCCGCAGTTTCCCAGCGATTATCGAAGATCTGCTGGACCGAGCAGGCTGACAGGCCTGCAGCAGCGTTCTCGGCATCATCGTCTACCATTTCTACTGCGGTCCTGCTATCACTGTGCAGTGTCAATCGTAATCAGAGAGAAGAGTGAAGCTGAGTTAGCGATTTGGACGCTAAAAACGACTTCTGTTCGTCAAACCCCATTACCGACCAATAGTTATCGTCACTTTTCATATCCCGTGTCAAAACAATCGGTCGCAATGTGCGCGCAGACAAACTCCCCAACAATTCCATTGGACCCGTCAAAGTTATCGCGCCAGCCAGGTGCCGGATTTACTCCATTAAAAAAAGACAGCCCGTACTCACCTGTCGGAGTAAACCTCACAGGACTACCTCGAAGGGTGAAGGATAGCTGTGCAGATGTTTACAATAATGCATGCACGAGATGGGAAAGGGCCAAATTGCAGGGTGCAAGAACAATTCGCGAAATAATCGTACTCAAAGGTGGCGAAACACCAGACGAAGCGAAACTGGACGAGCTCTGCGAGAACTTGCTAAAAATAATAGACGATCTAGCAAGGATCGTCGACTCGATAAGCTCGGTGCGAAAAAATTTTGAGGCTCTCTTAAAGATCTATAAGGTGAAGGCCTCTATTGACAGTGACACTATGGCGAACAGCAACGTTCCATTTTTGAGTTATACTCTAGAAAAATATCTCGAGATGATTCGTTCAATCGAAGAGCCGTACATTCAGGAGCTCAAGTTTAAGCGGAACTTGATTAAGAGGGTTCCTTTACAGAATAACCAAGCTATATGTACGTTCATTAATGTCTGTTGGCTACATGATCCTCTAATAGATGAGTCTGTAATGCGTGCAGTGCTAGCGCTTGTCGCGGAGTGTGGTTTTAAATAAAAGAAACGAAACAAACGACAAATATAGTGACAATATACTTTCGATGAGCTTTTTCATTTTCTCGTATATGATACATACGTATAGCTATATCAAATTATCGTACATGTACAATGCTTTGTTTTGCCAAAATTGAGTGCTCCTGTATTGATTTCAAGCCAACGAGAACCTTAACTAAGCTTTTCATCATTTGCGATTGTGATATGATTGACAAATTGTTCATAAAAAAAAAAAACGTAATGTCACGTTTTTGGCTGTCAGATTTCTTTATTTACTTAATAATATCTTTGCACTCTTAGATAACTAGAGTGTAACATAGCGTAGGCTTAACATTCGATTGAAGTTATTCAATGTAAAACCGTTCCCTCTTCTATATACTCTAAACACTATCATCAGATCGCACACATCACGCTTCATGCACAGAGAATGTGCTTCACTGAGCTCGCGTGTCAGGCTGTCTTGTTCATTACGTTGCTCGTAGAGGAAGTGTATAATCTTGTTTTTCATCGTTATCTCACTCTCATTTCTAGAAGATAATGATAATTGAAATGAAAAAGTCGATTACGAACAAGGTTTTATTAGTACATACTGGGGGAACTCCCCCGCCAGGGTGCGTTACGTGAGGTATGGACGTTGCTAAACTTGCTTGCCTAATGCCAGTCAGAAATTGAGTGGCGCCCAATTTCCGAACAAATCTGTCTTTACATAATCGAGTCGTCTATGAGTAATAGGTTAGTGAAGTTGGGAGAATTTTTCTGTATTTGTCCGATAGTGATGGACCTGTATGCGAAACGAACAGTAATCCTTGAAAGGAGGGTCCGACAGGCCAAAAATAGTACGGATCAGAGCGGGCAACCGTATAGTAGGGCAGACAGAATAGGGATCTGAAGTCGCGCAAGCCAGATACACTAAGGCCTTACATTGAGCGATGCGAACATTAGCTTTGAGCTGTTTTTTTTTTTGCTATTTTCTCTCCTTTTTCCCCCGCCTGCATTTGTTTAAGTTCCGGGCAACTGGCTCTTTTTTTTCTCATAAGTCTTCTTCGGTACCGCGGAAGCTGAAACGGCGGCGGCAGCAACAAGTGATAGGTGTTGCACAATTAGGGGCTTCCAAAAGATGTTATTGTTGTCTCTAACGAACGTTTGCTATTTAAAGCACACGCCTTAAAACTGAGGCCCACTGCCTGCCAACCAACTGTCAGCCATGTCCTATTAAGGTCATGTAGCAATTTATCTAGGGACGAATGCGCTACCTGCTCAAAAAAGCCTTCAGAAAAGTAGATCCCATAGATGATTCTCGAAACAGGATTTTTCTTACACACAGTACATAGTACAGTGTCTAATAGTTTTATACTTAATGTATATCTATACCGATCGCACGTACTCTTCCATATATGTGACAAAATACAGACATTTACTAACCATTACCCTGTGCTGGTTGATTGTGATAACCGTGTTGGCAATCACATGTATAGGCACGTTTGCTTTCGTAGTGTTTCAATGGCAAAAAATTGAGTAGTTTCCCTTAAACATGAAATTAACGATCGGTTTCAAAGGGAAACAAGCGGCCAAAATTATCACTATGTCCTGTAGCACAGATTTTTTTTTAGAAGTTCCTTTCCAAGGACTTAAAGCCATTTCACGCTGTGGCTCCCAAAATAGATAGAAACTTGCACCAATATGCGGGGTATATATATATATATATCACTGAGCAAATTATAATTTGACTCCATTTAACCTAGAGATGAGATCTTATTGTTATTGCACTAAGAATCTTAGCAATTTGATTATTGATTTGACAGGGTTCTCCAAGCAACTGCTTTTTTTAGTGTAGTAAACTGAACCTCTTTATTTAACTATCAGAGTCATATTACGCGCGCAAAATAGATCACAAACGCTCTTGATTTGTGCGTCCTACTGTTTTCAAAATGTCTAGACATAGCCAGGACCATGTAGAAATAAAATGGCATTAATCAGAAAATTAATTACTGCCGAATTATTGTCGATTTACTTTTTTCTACGATTTTTTTCCGTATCGTACTATATATATTTTAATATACTGCTATTAGAAGTAGTACAAAGGTTTATGATAAATGGCAACCTGCATGCATTTGCAGTACGGCCACTTTACTTCATACTGGTCTCTTTTCAGTATCAGTGACGAACCCAGTGAATGTTTAATTTTTCTCCTTCGTAGCGAACTCGAAAGTGGCGTTACCTTACGGTTAGTAGCGATCAGCCTACCCCACCATTACTTCCGTTAGGGGGTCGTTTCTCTGCCTATGTGAGTAAAAGTGTGGGTGGTTGCTTTTGACGCTATTCACAGGAGCAGAGAAATAAACGAACAGGCGGATGACCGGAACATACCCATACTCTTTTATTGTAGGCCTCACTCACTCACTCCACCCGTTCTGCGGCATGAGTTTATGTTCTAAGTGAGTGACTGACGATGTAGGCACACCCCGTACATAGTTCGGCATAACACTACCGATGACTTGTGTAGCTGTAACCGCGCGGTCATTTTGAATCATGCGCCTTTCGGCTTATTCGTCCGACCGGAAAGGCTACGTGTGTAGCTGAATAATAGTGTTTGTAGAAGCAGAATTCGGCAAAAACAACTGTTTCGGAACCGTTCTAGCGTGCATCGCACGTACAAGTTAATAAGTATGTTAAAGTTTGAACCTGTCGCTACAGATGATATAGACTGAATAGAAGAGATTACTTTTAGTGTCACCTACTACAACGTTTTTTGGCTGATCAAACCGCCAATATTCAGCGCGCGGGAGTCCCTCGTGAGTTCTTTAATGAGCACCTGCTCTTCATGCTTGTCATTTACCTCTTGAGAAGTTGAGCAAGTAATCACATCATTACTGAGTCGATAGTAAATTTGTCGTTTGCGCAGCTAATTTCGGTGCACAACTCGATAAAGATTATGCTAATTCCCATAATTTATACCAGTTTTTTTTCAAAATAACTGCACAGCCTCTATGTGTGTGTGTTTCTCTTCGCAGCGGAAAAGCAACGGAATTGAAGGCAATTTTGAGTTTTTTTTTTTTTTTCTTAATATTATTCTTACCTCTTTGCTACTATGGAAGTTGTCGCCAATATGCTTGGTAATATGGTAATGCTTTACCTCACTGTTATAAAACCCAATGTGCTTCGCAAGGCAGACGTTTTGCAGAAATTGATCGATCTTAAAAGCTGAAAAGCCTGTATTTTTTGATTGATCGTCTGCTGTTAATGGACGAGGTAGCTGATCCATTTCACTGAAGAAAAATCCACTATGTCTAAACTCGATGATAGGCCAATTGCACTGCGAATTGACCACATCGATTATCGGTGCGTTACTGTACGTCGACGATAGTTGCTCAACAGGCGAAATATTGTCAAACATTGTTCGTTGCCTGCAATACAAAACGGCTAGGCCGCCACAAGGATTAGTTATGAAGATTAGATCGCCGATGACTTTAGGCTCTGAAATAGGACGAGAAGAATAGGGTGTGCAATAATCGCGATGTTTTTGAACGATATGCGCTATCTACATTAAGAAGCGTACGCTTTGAATTTACCTAAGTATACAGCCTTTGGAAGTTTTCATACAAAAAGCGATTCGGTCCATTTACAAAATATAAGCTCAGCAGTTATTATCTTTAAACGGGTCGACTGAAGTGTTTCTCATGTGAAGGTATATATATATATATATATTTTTTTTTTCTGTAACTACAGCTTATAATGTTATGTTACTGTTGACAAATTTCTCTAATTTTTCCATCGAATAATGTGTGTTATCGTGTGAGAAGGTAGTGAGTTTCACTTCTAAGAAGTGTTTCAACTACGTTCTAAGTTGCTGATCCGTTGAAGCCCAGCGAATAGTTGTCAATCCCAGATAGCATCCTCTAGATGCAGAATACCGAGCCCAAATCTGCCAAAGCCCTTTTGAGCAATTTTGTTAGCAAAAGCAAATGACGCCTGCTGTTTCGGCAGCATTTCGGTTTTAACCAAACATAGTACAAAAGATATGAAACAGCATGTTCTCCACTTAAAACATCAACCTTTGAAGAGCTTCCCCGAGTTAAAATTTCCCTCCCAATAAAATATTGTCTCAACACAGGCGTGCTTAAACTAAGAGCTGATATATGTATTTTTTGAAATATCAACTAGCTAGGAAACTGTCTACGTTAAATATTGGCATAAATAAATATTATTATCGGCTTAATACTAATATTACGTCAACCAGGTATGTTGCTTTACCATCTAAAATATATTCTTGACTGGATCATTTTTTGGACTGTATTAAATAAGAAGGAAACGGCTGAAATTCGCCAATTATAATACAATAGCCAATGATACTCAGAGGATTAAACCAATTAACGGACCATAGCCACTATATAGCCACTGTGACTATATATATCACAGATAGGGTTTTTGAAGCTGTTAGGCTATATCGTGTACAAGTGCAAACAGAATACGCTGACCTAAATTCTATTGAGTCCTTCGTATATATGATTCAGAGAACTATAAAACAGAAGCCTAAAATCGTCAACCTTACTCGTATATAGTCGCTAACATTCTTATATTAGTGATGTCTCCTTAAGGGCTTTGCGATCTGAGTACTTTGACATATGCGTTAAACTAAACCGGAATGGTCTGTCTTTTTAGAGACCAATTTTACATTTGGGTATTCTAATTTTAAAGCTGTCTAGCTTTGCACTCTGCACGCTGACCTTTTAATCACAACGAAAGATATTTCGTGGACTTTATTAAAATGATCAGTACATGATTTATTTGAAAATAGATAGTAATTTCTTTGTTATAAATCCAAGATCCAAAATACGCATTGCCGCAATCCAAAAGATTTTACACAAAAGCAGAGCTTAGAGGCCGAGGACCATGTAAGGTGTTACAAAATTATAGCCTAAATAGTAAAAATGCGCGAATTGTGTGAAAAGGGGACTTTCTGTCGTACACTGATTCTAAATCAGTCTATGTATTTTACGTACAATCTATGGAACTTCAACAAAAACCCGTGTGGAGCATACGGTTTTCATAGATAGTAAATAGTTCAATCTTTAACGCCAACCGGAAAGGGACTTGATGTTGCTATGGAAAGAAATTAAGTTAGACGGCAGTGTCGCGCAGTAAGTAATAAGGTGGTGGTAATACTCTCAATGGACATCAAGGTATTCGTCGGAAATAAAATAGTAAATGCAGCTCACTATCTCGGGTTGCTCAAAGGACTTATGCATCGTCGACACTGCAATCGGAAGCGGACATTCTGGTTACTTGATGACAACGCCAGACCTAGTCACCATGGCTCTACTAGTCCCCGGACTGAATAAAGGAATATCCAATGTTGTCTTCAACTCGCTAGTTCAAGCTAAGAATACGGGACCTTCCATGCCTGAAAACGGGCAACTGGTCAACAAGCATATCCCACCACCAATCTACTTTGAGAAGCAAGATATAGAGAAGTCATTTATGGCACGCGAATGAGAGGTAAATGGCTCTCCAGAAGGTCACAACGCTGGAACAAGTATTCGAAGAAAATAAAAAGAAGTATCTCTAACATGTTCATTCTAGCTCAACTAGTTTAAGAGTTATTCGTTCCAAAGTCCACCGGATTCGCTTGTGACAGCTTAACATTTTGCTAGCTAAGATTAATGGTACTGCTTGTATTTAAATAAGCCTTTTGTTATTGAATGAATAAAGAAATCAATATTGCAATGAACATCCTTTTCAGCCCAGATAAATAAAATTAGCGAGTTACAGTAAGGAGTCGATATCTCAGGTATGCGCTTACAATACGGAGATACGATATGGAAACAGTATAATAAACTTGTGACGCTTTTGACCAGTCGAGGGCGTTCTAGACGCACATAGGAGGCATTGTACGTACGGGTTATTTTAGGGGAACAGTTCGACTGTAATGGCTTCATTTAAAGTTTTTGTTAATGAAAATAACGTTTTACAAATCTAGATGCACAATTAGAGACATGAAAATGAGAGATTACCGCCTGCGGTATATTATGAACGGAAGAAATTACGTCGAAGGCAGTGTATGTTTGTTGTCGATGTTGCTACTGCTGCAAAAAAACAGGTGATTCCCACCTGTATCCGAAAAGTTTATCCGCTCCTCGCACATCACGACTGGGATTTGAGCCGGCGGATTTGGACACAGGCACTATGAGATGCTGGCACTTCGGCTGCTACGTTCCGGCTCAATTTTGTCGTTGTTCCGCTGTTAATGTAAAGTTATTAAAAAAAAAAAAAAAAAAAAAAAATGCCTAATCAGATTCAGACGAAGCCACTGATGTGGCGGATGGCCATTTATGTCCTGATTTAATTTTGCTTTGATCCTCTCATTCCCTTTTAAAACATCATCTAAACTGAGCTCCAGATTTATCATTTGGATATTTTTGGGTCACGTTGATAGTGTATGTAGTGGTCTATTCATTGCTGCTTTCTTGCTTGGCAAATTTTGAAAAGATACACCGAATAAATCGGGACCCGTGTGCCAGCGGGCCAGCCACATATCAGCTCGCCTGACGAGGCTAGGAAAACCCAGGCAAAAATTTGTACACATCTCTTTCAGCACATGTCCAGCATTACGCATACACCTAATACTGTCAACATGTCACTTTTTCCAGTCGAATGTAAACGGACTTTAGGCCTGCTTCGCTTGAACCTAATCAAGGTTCTGTGTAGCTGTTTCGTGTCAATCGGCTTCTGTAACTTTAACGGCTACGTCTCCTGTGTTTACCCTGTAGTCTAGCTATCCAATTTTCGGCAATGCATTGTTGTAATCAATCATTTAGTACCAGTTTTTCGGTCACCCTGCTTCAGCGAATTGATTTTATTATTACGCCCATCCCTTAACCCTACCTCCGTTATTCAATTGTGCGGAAGCATTGGTTCTCAGAAGTTTTGCATCTCCCACATACAAACACTTCACGACTGTGTTCTAAATATATTTGACCTTTCTGCAGTCGTTGTACTTCTCTTTACCAGATGTCGCTCTGTCACCCTTAACCAGTTACCCTGTTGAAGTTTATCTACCTCGATTACATACGTTCGATTACACAGTGAAAATAAGAAAAATTAATTACTTTTCAAAAATACAATTTTGTAGAGTTTAAAAGATCATCAGCTTTTACATCTAAATGTTTGACAACTACCAAGGAAGCTCACGAAAAACAGTCTCTTTTCCTTTATTTAAGCTATTAACAGGTCTCTAGAATAATTTTAGCACAAAATATGGAGTCGTGGCAAGTCAGCTTGTCCACTCAAACCTGTATATGAAGTATAAAAATGACGAATACCGTTGTGGTTATTTTCTAGTCTATATATATATATATATATATATATATGGAGCAGAACGACATCTTAGCTATGATAGCTTAATCTCAACTAAATAGGGATGTAAAATGTATTTGTTGAAATTATTTATTTCAGATCAGTGTTTGATCGTTAGATTTCGTACGTTCATGTATTCATTTGCGAATGCTATTTCTACTGTTCATAACATAGTTGTTATGTCAAATTACTACTATTTCTTGTATTTAATATGTCCGAGGAATTATCTATGCTGATGAGTGGATGACTGGTTCGGTACTCATAACGACATCTGCGCCTCTCTGAAAGCGGATGAGATTAAAGCAGGCTTAATGAAGACGGAGCCACCAGCGGTAGCTTGGTCGAGCTTCTGATCACACCGTGACGATCCTCTGGGTAAGGTAGCTAGACAGTACAAGTAGCCGTTATGAAGACTACTATTATTTACATTGGAGAGTTTGGTCTATCTGATAGCATTCTGTGTTGTAGTACTACAGTGGTGCTTCGCGAAGGCATTGTTGGCGACGCTAGTGTGGTTCCGCTAGCGGCAGCAGCAACGGCGGCAGTAGCCGATCGCTGCCCGACGGTCGATTCATCAACGATAGTCAGCTTCGAGTGTAGAACGAGTATACTGCGATACTGCGACAGCACGGGGCGCTCCGATCAACAATAAGAAGAAAAAGGGCAACGCAAGATGATGATTTTAAGGAACAAGGATAAAATCAGAAGAGGAAATGGGTCAACATCGACTCTCAGCCAAAACTCAGCAGCCCCAGCACACTTTTGTATTAAGCGATGTTATGGCTTTGCTGTTCGTGTCGCCACACGTATTGATGGCTTTATAATTCTGTGTACACGGCACACAGTACCATGCACTCAGATACGAACAGCACCACGCGAAGATTGACACTCACATGTCGCATCAACGATCAGCCTATACTTGACTGTTTGCTTTCGTTAAATGTAACAGAAGTAACGGTAGTTGCCGTCTTTCTTAAATTATATATTCACACACCAATTCTGAGCGCCAGGCACTGCAGCACGGCAAAAATATCCGCTTTAATTACTCTATATCTATAAACCAGTTCGAGCGTTAAGGTATGTAAACCCTCTTGATTAACTAAAATACATGGTATCCGTAAAACTGACAATCTATGCTTGTTCTATGTGTGGTTGCAGTTGTTACGGACAAGCTCGTTCAATGGTTCGTTACATGATAGAGATCTACAGCAGAAATGGGATTGTAACCTGTTGACCTAAGGACTATTTTTTAAAGTTACTTAATTAAAATGTTATCCCTGTAAACTCAGATTAGGTTGAACAGTCTCTCCAGCATGATCGTTTACGAATGCGTAGTTTATGGTGAAAAAGTAACTCTCAAAACGCGCTCAATAGCCGTCCGACGTATTCGGATCACATGGGAACGATGTTGATGTCTCAGAGCAGAAGATAATTACTGAAGGTAAGTAACTTTCCCTATTTACGAATAACGCCGTTTGTTTCACTTAAATCGTCCTACTGTTTTCTCTATAAAAAATACTGTTTGGTTACGTTGTAAGGCTAAAACGAGCGGGCCGAATTTAGTACATCAAATATCAGATCACAAATGCTAAAGTATTCAATATGTGATGGAAAACCGTTTTGGTCTAGCTATATTGTGGTTGAAAATCAGAAATTATCTACAGATAACAGATATACCATTCAAAAACTAGTTGACCTTCGTTGAACTTATTCTAAGCCTTCTTCTCGAATGGGTGTAGCGTTTCAAGGGCGAAGGAGCTGCCGCAAACACTAATTTTGCATACATTCTATTTCGAAAGGGAACCGTCGCCTCTAGTGAACAACGCACGCAGATAAAATCACTCGATTTCTTAATTGCAACACCCAAGTTTTTGTCGCACTTCTCTGTAGCACTCAGTTGCGGAACATCGTGTTTCGACAGCTATATAACGCGGTGAGCTTGCCCGCGAAATTTTGGAAACACGTGATAGCTTAGGTACGATCCGGATGTCAACACGCCCGATTTTGTGCTAGTAGTCATCTGTCTGAAGTGATGAGTGCCTAATGGCTAGAGTAGCGGACGCAATACATGGAGAAACATCTTTTCATCGCTTTGTGAGCAATATATAGTTCAATGTGTTACTGAATTGTGTAAGAAGCTTAAATTAGGTTAGTCGGGCGAATCAGAATCAAACGGAGCCTGCCCGCTATCGTCACACTAGCGAAGACAGCCGCAAAAGAATGGGGCAGCTGTTTGTTTCAGCGCGTGCAGGAAATGCTTACCCAGTTGACATCACAACATGAACGGTAGCATTCGTTGTTCCTTCCCGACCCAAATAGTGGCTTAAATCGCCCATCCGGCTTGGAGTGAACTGTCGTTTACGCCCTCCCTCCCCACGATCCCAGCGCCGTCCCAGCATTTTGTGAATTCGAATGACAGAAGAGGTGCGCCATATACGGCGTGAATAGTAATAAGGGCGGCCATAAGGGCTGTGGCAATTGTAGCGAATTATCCCTTATTCAGATAATTCGTCTACTAAAGCAAGATGCTGCTGCTGCTGCTGCTGCTGCTGCAGCACGTGCTGTCGTTATTGTTGTTGTTGTTCTTGGCTACGGCAAGATCGGTTTCGTATTAGTTTCGAATCGTTCAGACTTCTCCTTTGGATTCTGTCTACATAGAAAGGACGGTGCTATTTAATAATCGACAACTGAAATCGACATATATCACAAACGAACAGAGCTGACAAATAGCTCTGGCACTGGTTCAAGACAATAGACGAAAGGCATGCAGAACTAGATTTTGATTTCTCACTACTAACTGTATAATCTAACTGAGTGCAAATGCATTTTGCTACGCCAACACAACGGAATCCTCGTTGGCCTTCTCGAAGGCCTACCTACCCTACAGCTCTCTATATAATTTAATAATCTCTCTCTCTCTCTCTCTCTCTCTCAGAGAGAGAGACATATATATACAATTTCCAGTTGTTATCAAAGGATGTCTATCTTTGTTAACCACGACTGTAAGAAAATCGTTTCTGGAAGAGATAATACTGAACGTAATAATAAGCGATACTTTAAGACGACATCCTCGGTGCACTTATAGTCGCCTGCTTCGAATCTACATCAGGGCTAAAAATGTCTGCATATCTGCATAACATAATTGTAAAGCACGGTAATCGTATTGTTTACTGCAGATATTGCGTAGAAGGATCCCCATGGTTAGCGTTGGGATCGCAACAAAGTGCGTCGACGATTATGTGTGTCCTGAGAATTTTGATCTTAATTCTGATCGGCCAGTGGCCATTCATTGGATCGATAGAGTGTTTCGAAAAAAATAGAAGGCTACATTGGCCGGGCTGAATAGATGTAACGCTTAGTTCGTTTTTAATTCCAACTACAAAATATGTCCGCTTTGTGTTAATGATTTGGTAACTGCTCTTCTTTTCAGAATGTATCTGTTTATCTTGCGCTGTTACCGGGTTGTTGTTGACGGGGGGGCTCATAAAAAGGTGCTTAGGCACCGAGCATAGTTGAGGTGATACAAGTGATTCTGGATAAAACGCCTGTTCCAGCAGCACTCGTCCACGCAGGGCCTCACAGGGTCCGGAGTGGTCAACACAAGCGACTTAACGCCTATCGGTTTCCATAGGGATGCCAGAACGACGAAAACGCTAGTGAAAATCGCGCAGCTTAACAATCGCCTGTGCCAATAGGGAAAGTCACAGGTTTGTAGAGAGTCTGCCTGCGAAGCCCTCGCTTTTTATCTGGGCAGGACTTCGAGTCGCGCTGCAGAAACTACGAAAGTGTCGGGCGCCGATATGGTGGCCAAGAAACAAGCCGAAAGCCTACCAGACCACTGCTCATGCACCGTCATTACTGATGTTGAGGACGGTATGCTTCCTAGCTGAGAGACGTTTGGAAAAAGACCCGTGGAACTGGTCGCCCTCTAGGAAAAAGACAACGGCGACGATAGTAGCGCTGCCGGCCAGCCGCGCCATAGCAGCACTACCGCTAGCAGCACTCCGAACTAGCACTGCAGATCGCATATGCTGCTTCGTCACTATTGGAATGCAGAGATCACTAACAGCTAACTAGGCAGGCTCGGTTCCTCGGTATTTGTCGAATCAATCCTGGAATTGAAATACTGACCATAGCAGTCACAGCGTCGGGCAATAGTAGCAGCAAGTTTATAGGACGCGGTTGCATGGTATCTCAATATGCCCGCCATCTCCATATCGGTGCCTCGCAAATTGGACTAATTCGACAGGAAAACATAATATGGCCTTGACTCAACGTTTCTACTGTTGTGTACGTGCAACGGACGACGGCGGCAGCAGCAGCGGCGGCGGCGGCGGCAGTAGCAGCTAGTGCACTGAAAATCAATTGCGAAAAGATGACGTTACCTTCTACGTAATCATAATGATAATAATGGTGAATGTAATCGACGAAGTAACCCGTTGAGAGGAGTTGTTCGTGTTGTGATTTTCGTGAAGTATTCATTATTTTAAGGTCGCAGAGTTTGCCAACTGCAGATTGCGGGTTGTGATATAAATAGTTGCGTGTGATTATCAGTGAAGACAAGCGAGTTCGTGCTTAGCAAATGATCGAAATCTGAATCAGTCGGATAGTGCTAAGAGTTGTGCGGCTGTCAATGCACGAGAATGGAAAATAAACATAAACTAAAACATCGTTTTGACATTGTGCGCAAGTTGGGCCAAGGCACATATGGCAAAGTGCAGCTTGCAATCAACAAGGAAACTGGACAAGAGGTAAGTACTTCTACGTATGTGAGAACGGTAAGTTGTACAATAAGTTGTTCGCTTTAAGCTTTCCCCAACCAAGCATAATTGGCTTCCGCTTTGCTAGGTGATTAAAACCTGCTTCATGAAACTGTCCGTCATCCGCTTTTCTAAGAGTCAATAAGTGTTGTCATTTTACTTAAGACAGCATTACGGAAAGTACTATCTATGCTCCTGTTCAAGAAATGGGAAAAACTTATCGCGTTGATGCGTAGGAATGCCAGTTGATCAGTCAGTCTAAATTGAACCAATTTAACGTTCATTCAAACAAACCGCGTCGCTTTAGAAATATACAAATATCAGCGAATGACAAAAATCCAGTAGTAGAAGCAATACTCTTGCCTTGTGTTGTATGTTTACTAACGTTTGTCATAGGTGATCACTCGAATTGTCTAGATTTATCATTAGAGGACTGAAAACGCAGGAAAATGTCGTCGTCTGCCTTCGATATTGTTCTTAGCTTCTTTCGTTTTTAAGCTCTTCAAAGATAGCTATTCAGATTTCGGAATGTGGCGTCATTTCAGGAAGCAAAACCTGGCCACATTGCTAATTCGATCTGTTATAAAAATATTTACTCTGACGTGCCTCAGCCTAGACACAGAAATGATAGCATATATATCTATAGACAGATGAAAAACTATCTGGGCAAGACGGTTTTTCTAGTCACGAAAATCTCATTTTACGTTTGGTGATTGAAATAGTACAATTATTTTTCCGTTTAGTAATGTTTTACGCTCTGTAAGAGGTCTGAGAAAGCCGCTCACTCGTCTGCCTGAACACTGTACGTATTCGTTTTCATTAGCGTGGATTTTATAGATTAAATAAGCCATAGTCTTATGCTGGTCGAAGTGGCAATAGCTAAACACAAGTCCAACTTGAAAATAACAATCGATATTCGAGCTAGATTTGCCTTTCAACTTCCGTAATTACTAATAACTAATTCCATAACAAGCAGAATAAAAAAGCTTTTGTAAAACTTGGTGTCGCTTAGCTCTTTGACCACACGGGGCTTAGATGAACCCGTTGAGAAAAGTAGAGCGCACGTTCCTAAAACTAAATATCAACATGAAATCTACACACATTGAAACTAATGTAAAGCAACCTCAGGCTATTGAATTTCTTTCGTCTTAAGTTGTTTTTTCTTTGCCTGAAAGAACCAAATAAAAAAAATAGTCTAATACATATTTAAAAATGGAAGTCGTCCGTGACAGCAACGAGTTTCTGTATCAGCAGTATTATCAGATTGCTCCCTCTCTTCTGTCTCTTTTGTAAAGGGGTTGAGGATTCCTCACGGAAGCACTTCTTTGTTGATCACAACCATCAAAAGCCATGGGCCATTTGGCTAAATCGTACACTGGCGCCTTACTATTGCATATTTAACTGGACCAGCACAACTACGGAAAGAGTTAATATTCCTTTTAGTTAATATTATGTTTTCGGAGATACGTTCGAACTCCATAGCTCCTTTCCATCCAGGTTCTACTGTCCGCCACAATATTATGCCATAATGTGGCTTGTTTTTAGCAAAAATGAATTTCTTCATTATTAGAAATCGACATGTGGGCGGCGGATCACATGGGCCGAACCTAAATTGGCGCTGAGGAGTCGATCGTACAGTCGAGATGCTGAGAAACATAAAACGCTACAGAATTCCCCTTCTGCAAGGGCATAATACTTCTAAGCAATATTTGCAATTTATATAACTGCCATTCCAACTTGTACTGGTGCTAAGCGGCGCCCATGCTACTCTTTATGGGGTTTTACTCTTTTCCTGGTGTTTTCTGGAGACCTCTTCAGCGCCTGTTGATCTCGGAAAGGCATTTTTGAAAAAAAAAAACTATGAAATTCCTTTCTTGACAATCGAAAATAAGAGTCAGGTTTTTGCGAGCTTCAATAAAGCCAAAACGTTTAGTGATTGAAGCGACAACACGCAGGAAGTGGTGGCTGCCTGGTTTGTTGGTCTACGGGCCTAGTTCTTCTTTAGATCTGACACTGCCACGCGGTGTCTATAGTATTTTTCATCTTCTATGTCGTCGGTGATCCATCCACCCGTCCATTCAGTGCATTGAGTGCATTCAGACATACCATACTGACCAAAAATGTGGGCGACACAGGCAGTTCCCCGTTGATCGAAAAAGCGTCTTTCTCGAAGTATTAGACAATAGCTTCCCACTCTGGCCGACGTCACTTTTGCCCGCTGACGACCAGACGCTACTCATACAGCAGCTGCAGCCATTTTGCTTTCGCTGGCTCGTGGTGTAACTGCCCGAGAGGATACCATCCAAAGCGTTACAATCTACGTAGTCTAAAAGTAACGACGACGCTTGCTTAACAGTTGGTACAGGCGACACGAGACGCATACCATTATATCTGTGTAATATTAAAGTATAGTGGCTAAACTCTCGATTGTAGATGGTTATTATTAGACTTATAGTTAATGAAAAGCCTTGTGAACATACTGACTTGTATCTTTTAGCCGAAATCCGGAATTATTTTCCTTTATATGCTGAAAAGCCATATACCATTTGTATAGTATAATAATTGAAGCTAGCCTAATAGAAAACGCGGAAGCATACCGCCCTAGTCATCCGGGATATTTTTCACTATGATATTTGAATAACACCGAATAACTTTCGGTGCACTAAACGAAGTACCATTTATTTTCGTCTCTGTCTCTCAGCAAGTCCCTGTCCAAGTTATTTTCTTACTGCACAAATAGGCAGGTTAGTGTGTAACGTATTTGACTACTAATCTTAGGTCTAGGCTCGAGTCTGGACATAAACATGGAGTTCTGTCTGATGAAGTGTCTAACAGCAGTATCAGATGGAAAACTCAAAGCAGTTAGTGTACATACGTTCCTTCGAATGAATGTGCACTTGAGATCTAGTTAAAAATTGTGACCCGATATAGAAATTTCAGATTAAGATGGCTATTGGAATTAAATACTGCAACCCAACGAGTCAAATAGCTATCAGCATCGAGGCAACAGTAGTTTTTCGAGTCGCCGGACGTGATGCCGCTACAGAAGCTGGTGGCAAGTCTCTCTGCAGCCACACAAAGCAGGCGAGCGCTGCTGAGCCGAAAGGGCAGTCGTAGTGGTAGTAAACTACGCGTGCTTTAGGGTCCTTTGCTCTCGGTGGCATGGTCGTATCGACGACGGCGATGGCAATAACCCAGTTAAGCACTTGGTGGCTTTAACTGTGATTCTACATTGTGAATTGCTGGCTTTGCTTCGTGATGAATGCGGACTATGAGGGCTTATTCTAGGCCCAGACATCCGACATATCATCCACAATTTACCGCAGCACAAGCGACGCCGCGAATTGCTGCTGCAGGCGAGGGGGTAACTGACTGAGTAGGCAACGATTCTCCTGGTTCACAACTCTGCGTTACTAGCGCCAGTAGCGGTCGCCAGCGCGAACAGCCCTAGGGTTGTTTTACTCGGACAAGAGCGTCACCTGCAGCAGCAGCAGCAGCAGCAGCAGCGCCAGCGTCAGCGATACCTTTCACCACTACCTTTACAGCCGACCAACGAACGGGCATCAAGTCTCGTAGTGGTCAGATTCACCGAATAGAGCCTGCTTCGTAATCCATCAGCTAGAATCGTCGAAAAGGAAAAGATGTGAGGGGGGCGGCCTATTGGGCATCCTATTCTATTAGGCCTACTTGTTGTTCAGCCGGCCGATGTACTTTTGGATGTAGCGTCGGAGTGTAGTCGTCTCCTGACCAGAACGTACAGACATGCGTTCCTGTTCATGCCGGTAATAAACATGCGGAGAAGACGGCAGAAATCTGGTTGTCACGAGAATGAAACGCCGTGTATAGCTTTAATTCGGGGGGCTTTTAAATGACGGAACTGAGGGCTTGCCGGCCCTTACCTCTACAGAGAGTGTTATATAGAAATAATAATACACATCGTAAATAATAGATGACATGACAATATCTTTGCTTATCACTCTATACGATTGAATCGGCAAATATTGCAAGTTTGTCTATAGACGTTTTTCTTTGCATCTGCTTATTTGACATAACCAAACGTATAGCCACCTAATTCAAGTTTAGTTATAGTTATAGATTAAACATATAATACTTTCGATAAGTCGATGTTGTTCTCAATATCCGCTGATTGAATACCTGTACTTAGCTAGCGCGAATTCTATTTGTGTACTAATTTCAATCGCTAAGACGTGAAAAGGACTCTTGATAAGGACCACTCCCCGACAGGGAACATATCCTTTGAATAAAGACGATTATGATTGACTTGATTTTTACTATTTACATCGTAACTGCATTAAAAAGTGGGATATATTAAATCACATCACTGCTTTTTTGTGCTCAAATTGAGTGTAGCTGAACTGTTGCTTCATAAAGTGCGTCTGTGCTTCGCTGATTTCAGTTCCTCGTGTGTTGTATGGGTCATCTAATGCTACCTTACACGATGCATTAACTAGCACTTGGTCCACAAATTCTGGATTCGTACAATATCATGTCGTCTCGCTTGGGAACGCAATACTTTCTATTATCGAACAGCATGACGATGGAAGAAGTGCACCATATCGTGTCACGTGTTATAGTAGTCGTTGTAAGAATTTTACAGGATTTTACAGGAAAAGCTGAAGTCACTAATCAAATTTTCTGAGATGCTAGGGAAGAGAGAAGGAAAAATAAGTACTGCAATATTTCTCCATTGATTATTATTACTACTAGCGATGCTTAATGTCATAGAGGAAATATTTCTGCACAGATTTTTTTTTTTTTTACTATTCTGGTGTTCTACAGAATGTTACGCAAAAGTTAATTTAGATGTCAATAGATCCGTTCTGAAGTACTGACAAATACGCCAAATTCCCCTTGTAGTTCACTGCCTATGGGTTTTGTTGTTGAACAACATCGATTTGTCATACTGGAAATTTTCTAGAAATAATCGAAATTGAACTTCGTACATCTACGCTCTGTAAAGCCGTCTTAGTTCTCTAAAGGGTAAACTTGAAAGTTTTAGGAAATCCTGCTCTCAAAGCAATTTTTTAGACATTGTCCCGTACTTTTTTTCCTGCCTTTTCGCACGCTTAAACTGAACAAGACAGAAAATGTAAACTCGCATCCCTCTATTTCAGGTAGCGATTAAAACGATAAAAAAATCAAAAATTGAAACAGAGCAAGATGCAGTTCGTATTCGTCGAGAGATTCAGATCATGTCATCAATTAGACATCCGAACATTGTGCACATTTACGAGGTGTTCGAGAACAAGGATAAAATTGTACTGGTTATGCAGAACGCGTCAGGCGGTGAGCTGTACGAATTTTTGAGCGAACGCAAGGTCTTAAGCGATACTGAAGCGCGCAGGATTTTTCGCCAGGTTGTCGCTGCGGTTTATTATATTCACAAATATAAAATTTGCCACCGAGATCTCAAACTGGAAAATATTCTCCTCGATGAAAAAGGCAACGCTAAGGTTAGTTCTTATACTGTCTACCTTAAACACGAGATACATACAATGAATTGATTCGTATAGGTGCTATCGATATAATATAGTGAATTTTTCGGCTGCGTCAACGAGACTTCGGAATCCTCACTAACTTAAATAGGTATTCTATAGATAGGAACTGTGTGAACTTATACAGCGTGCAATCTTACTTCGCGTACTTCCCAATAAAACTTGATAAAGCTAGCCTGTATTTATGAGCATAGAATCATAATATAACATTGTTGCGAAGAAAACGGCGTTGTCTTATTGACACAGATAAAATAGGTAGTAGTAGTACCATTGCTAGACACGCACGAAGTATTTCGATCTGCTATTATATGGCTGTATATAATAGTAGGAATATATCTTGGAAAGAAAATATCGAAGTCCAAACGATTCTGTAAGTGAAACTATAAAGCATATGCTTATTACGAAAGTCCGAGGTGTGACAAGTTAGTTGTCAGTTATTATTTCATACAGATCCATGAGAGTGTTGAGGATATGGAAAAGCTTTATGTGCCAAAAGGCGTAGGCATTAAATCCAAAGGACAGTAAGTACACACAAAGAACAGCGGAATTTGAATTTTGGCAAAAGTCATTGGTTTTAATTATATTACGGTTATTCCCATTTAATAAGGGTTTAACTTGGATAGCTATCATAGATAGCGAAAATCGAATACCGTATTATAAAGCGTTACATATTGATGTTAATGACACGGTGGTAGGCTTAATGTAACATACGTTTTCATTGATGTTTAGTAGTGTAACTGCACATTTTTACTTTACTTGCTCCAATGGAATAGATTGCAGACTTCGGCTTATCAAACGTCTATGATGAGAAAAATCTTTTAAGCACGTTTTGCGGCTCCCCACTATACGCGTCGCCCGAAATTGTTAAGGGGTTACCTTATTTCGGGCCGGAAGTGGACTGCTGGTCGCTCGGTGTACTGCTTTACACGCTTGTCTATGGAGCTATGCCTTTCGATGGAAGCAACTTTAAAAAACTAGTCAAGCAAATTTCCACGGGAGATTACTATGAACCCAAGCAACGAGCAGGTAAGTTCAATCTCTTCACTGTCGGTGCGCTCCCCATAACATGAAAAAGAAGACAGTGGTTTCCCATCTGAGCTTCGTCTATATATTGTCTTGATTTTTTTTTCTTTTTAAAAATGCCATCTGATTATTGATGTCTTAATTGGGCTTGACACGTATTTTTCGTTCTCACCTTTAAAAACATATTGTACGCATATAATCGCTTTTTCAAAATATTTGATAAGCACGCTATATATGTATACATATAAATAGTGCAACAAAGTTTCCACACTTTTTTAGCTTGCCAAAAGAGGCGTAGCTCTGGGCTTCTATTCGCTTGTTTGCACGTTTTGAGGGATATTAACCGAAATTAGAAGGGTGCGCTAATATTAGTTCTATTCGAGGTAATTCTTACCCTATCAACAACGCGATCGCTGATGAATTTATCGCATTTGGGTATATTATTATTATTATTATCATAGCAATATTTGTGTGTTACAATCATTACACAAATCGAGTCATCCGGCTTTGTCTCTTACGAGATTCACGAAAAACTTCCTATGAAAATATGTTACTTAAATTCCTTGTTAAGACTATTCCTAACGTCGCTATTGTCTCTCCGCTATGGAGTCCGTTTTTCCGGAAACTAACAAAATTAACATTTACTAGTTCAAAATAGTATACCACAGTAAGTGAAATTCTCGACTGTTTTTGTTACTCTCTCTAGCCGCTTCCGGCCTTATCCGTCATCTGTTAACTGTGAATGCACTCGAACGAGCGACAATTGTCGACGTGTGTAACGACGCGTGGGTAAATGAGGAATACGACACGCAGCTGCTACAAGTGGCGGAAGATCTGGCCAATCTTTCTCCAGTCCGCCTCGAACTTCTTCTGGCACTTCAACCGCAAACGCCGCCCACCCCAGACAGAACTCAGCACAATGCACACCCCTTGACTGCTGAAAGGTTAGGGGAGCAGCTAAGTTCCACGGACACAACTTCAGACAATACAATGGACGAAGCGGAACCTAACGCCGTCGTTCCGAGTTCAAGTCTCATGCGAATGCCATCGTTGGCAGTGAAAGCTGGCAGTTCGTCCATTGGTCCGCCTATGCAGTCTTGTTCCATGCGGTATGTCTCAAATGTTTCTTCCACTGCCCTAACCAAGAACCCCTCGGTAGTGTCAGCTGTCCTTCTTGACGAGGACGACATGGACCCAACGGAGAGTTCACACTCTTTCCAAATTGCCGCTTCATTGCAACAACCACTTTCAAAAGACGTAAACGAGCCGATTCCTTTAGAAGAATCTGTTGAACAAACTCCGTTAAGGCCTGTGCGCCGCGCTTCTAGTGTTGTCTCGATGCATAGCGACAACGGTCTGCTACGTGCACCCATGAGAAGTGTTAGTAAAGCGTCGATAGAACTTAAAAGTAGCGCAAAGAGCAGCACGACGGATACTAAACTGCTGCTTCCTCGGGTGTTGAGTGGAACTCAGGCTGCGCCCAGCACTAGGGCGGACCAAAAACTGGAAAGAATGGTGGAACCACAGAAGGCTATCGAAAATAAAATTATTGATAAAGCCGCTGAAAGTGTTCAAGAGGTACATATCGTGTCGCGGATGGTAGAGGCGGTAAAAGCTCAAGAGAGTTTTGAAACAAAGGATCCGCCTCAAAGTCTTGTATGGCCATCTGATGAACGGCCGAAGAAAATCCCCGGTAGATTATCTCCCGAGGGAGCTCCCAGTGAAGAAGTAGCCAAAGAGAATTCGACGCTTAGGGAAACGCGAGACGGATTCACACCCAGAGGTCTGCCTATGAAATCCTACAAGAAATTTACTTTTGAACGAAACGGCGGCCAAGTGGTTGTTCGGGAGAAGATCTGTAAAAAAGAACAACAAGACGGAAACAATCGTAAGATCGTTATTGAGAAAAAAGTGACATCGCGGACATCGTCATTCGACAAGCCGCTGGTCGACGGTATAGAAGGCCTGAAGGTCCGCAAGGGAGATGAGAGCTCCGACGAGGACGACTTCGATCTCCACTTTGACTCCTCACACGGTCCTTTAGGTCTGCTAAACGTGATGAAGTTTATGGATCACGACTTTCGTTTGCGTTGGCAAAATCACTCGATTTTCCAAAATGTATCTCGCAGACCGATGACGTCCGCAACCGAATTATTGCAGGTATATTTTAAACTAAGTACCCTTTCCCTTCTTATTTGATTCTCTCTCATTTTAGTACTTACAGTAAATCGTTCTGGTTTTTATTGATAATGCTCTATATTGCCGTCATCGAATACATATAAGCTAAGAGGCCGCGATGTGTGGTCAGTAAAATTTGGCAAATAAGGTACCATAATACTAGTCAAGATTGACTTAATTGTGCATATACAAATTTGGTTAAAGCGCTAACAGATATTTTTTATCGTTGCTCCGCATTTTACAAAGTCTGTTCAAAATAGTCGAAGAAGATTACACTCGCCTTCGTTGATGAAGCTTTTCATGGAACATCGGGACTTTGCAACACCAACGAACGACGCATCCCGCGACCCTACTTTCGAATCTCATTTCGGGTTCCCTCTTCATCATGAGCCATTATCCAGGCATAATTCATTACAGGGTGCTCATAATCCCGTTACGTCGACCATCTCTGCTGACCCTCGCGCGTCCTACCGCCGACTAAACAGAGGTTCCTCTCTTGATAGAAGCTCCATGAGGATTCCGTGTCCACAAACCTCACCTCAGGTATGGGCTTAAACCAGATAGGTGTTCGTACGAGCACCTATCCAGGAAAAAAAAGCTAAGAAAGTACAGGATGCTGATTATTATTCTTTTTCCTATATTTCAAAATCAATGCGATTAATTATGAGAGCAACCTTAAGCTAAAACGTGAGTAAATGTCCTGCTAAGCAGGTGGATCCGATGTCTTCATCATATTATTCGTCAGCTCGAGATGAACCTCCGCTAAGCACCGTTCGCCAAATTCCCCGTTATAGCCGAACACTGAGTGATCGTACAATTGATAGTGTGGATGTAACCGACCGAACTGCGTCCGGCGTGTCGGGTGTAGTTGGAGGGGTGGCGAATACAGGTGGAGGTATAGCGTCATCCTTGAGCTCTTCCTCTGGACCGACACCGCGCGTCCACCTCCGTACTCAGCAAGGACGACAGCCTGTTGTGCACATGGAGCTCAGCTTCAATGGTAAATATTTCAGCTTCTGTTTGCGTATAAATTAGCCTATAACAGGTACTTGTAACCCTATCGCTTACTGCAGACACGGTGGATTGATCCAAACGAGACTTTTTGGGCGATTTATAAAACAATTATCTAATACAGAGGCTACAAATATGATATTTTGCACGATAAATCGGTTGTAGGACTCGCGATACTTTCAACCATTTGCTTGCTTTGTTTTGTTGTTTTTTAGAAAATAGTGAATTCCATTGCCTGTTATTCTGTATGTATTTTGTTACATGTTATTATCTGGACCACAATATGGGTGTTGCTGCTATTTTCTAGATGAATCATTTCGTTCTATAATGAGCGTCGTATTCTTGTAGAAGGCTTATGCGTTCAGAGATCGGACTTTATCTGTTTTTTTTCTTCCTCCTCCTCAGGCCGACAACCAGGTTCGATAGGACTGACCCACTCCTGGTCAAATCATGGCCTGTGGCAACAACAGCATCCAGCCAACAATTCGGGTACGCCGACCCGCATCGAGATGCGAGTCCATTACGCTAGTCCAAGCTCACCTCCGACGACGCCACCAAGTGGCATGCCACCAAGACCGCCCAGGCCTACGGCTCCTTCAGCATCAGCAGAAGGTGTACGCCACGAGAAACAGCAGAACCTAAACGAGACCGTCGATCGTGGCTCAGAACCACCGGAAGCAGAAGAAAGTGTTAGCGATCGAATTAATCGACGGAGCTACTATCATAGGTACTTTTGATAGCTATAAAAAGAATGTTGATGATCTCTCGTAAAACTAACCCACGACATTGGTATAACATCTTCTGTGGTCTGCCCACGATAAAAAAGCCATTCTTTCTGTTAGAATTAATATGACTTGCTTATTGAAAAGAACGTTGCCTAAATCTAGCGTTTCAACGTTCTAAAACTTCCGAAGCTTTGGTTTTAACCTTTTTTTTTTTTAAATATAAAAATAGTTTTTACTGTGTAAAAAACCTGAATTCAAATAACGCTAATGTTTTGGTACCTAATGAAACTACTTTTTTTTTGTTTTATTGCCCATTTTCAGATTTAGCAGCGTGGACCGCCATTTACCACCGCGTCCCACGTCAACTATATGGGACCAGCAACAGGTGGCACCAGCAGTGGGAGGAGTTGGAGCAGGTGTCCTTTGGGAAGCTGCATCACCCGATAAACCGTTAGGGGCTCGCTTTAAGCCTCATTTTCCACCAGGCGAAATCAATCCTACCAGCATGTGAGGTAGGATCTTATGAAGAGCTCTTTGAAAGCATCGTCGAAAAAGCAAACGAAATTAAAACCATTTTACTTAGTGATTCCGGCTGTAGTTCCGTTCGTTGACTTAGTACGAACTGTACGAAATACATATCGTTATATAAGACATCGTGTAAGTTTTACAGCTTTCCATATTTGGAGATGACGTTTTGCTGATCGTTTACGTAATTAGTCATCCTCAAATTTTACTTTATCAAATAAACCAATTTTGTTGACATCTTATTTAAACATATAATAGAGTGCCGCCCTATATATATTAATGAAGTAAATACCAAAAGCAAAGCATAGCGTAATACCTCAGGTCATGCTGTGAAAAGATACTTCTTTAAATCCGTGTTTGCTAATCAGTCTTCTTACGATCTTTTGAAATAATAAATTGTATTTATACAGTATCGGCCTCAGTGAACGAAGTCAGTTAAGCATGCGGTTGGGCAGCGCGTGCAATTTGCTCGCCAAGGGTAACACGTACATCTTGGATGAGCATACCACGCTGTTGTGTGAAAACAGTAAACGAAAGTGTCTTAATATAAAGCTTTGATAAAATTCTGGCACCTGCGCATATAATAAGGGCAAATATATATTTGTCCTTTCACCTCCCATGCACAATGGATTACTGTGCTCGGAACTTCCTGGAGGCACAACCATCAATTCTACCAGGCCTAAATGCTGTCGCGTACGGTGCTGCTAATTAAGCACTGTACGATTTGCCAAATTTTTTCGGCCCGGTTTTTCAGCCAGGTTTTTCTATTTCTCATCCTCGCCTAGACGAAGCGCTAGGTGAAGCGCTAACAAATATGTATGTCATATTAATGACTCAGAATAACAACGTAGCGCATCTCACATAGAAGATATTAGTATACAACATAGCTCTGACGAAACAGCGACCGTCAATAAGTTCTACTTTTACCGATGAAGACCCAGAAAGCTATTTTTGCCAGCTCAGTTAGACTGGACTAACTGAGAAACGTGTCAAATCATGATCTTTAATCCGTCCACCGAGTTGATCATTTATTGTACAATAGGTTGCAAAGAATGAAACAATGGGGTGACATCTGTAAGATTTAGAAGATTAATAATTGTATAACAAACTTCATTACTATTATTACTGTGCTACCTTGAACTATAAAGACCTAGGGTTGTCTGGAACCCAGCAATATTAACCAGACTGGTCAGTTGGGAGCTTCGTAAATAAAGAACGTGCCTGTATTGCGGTCGCTTTGTATTTCTTCTTATATA